GGTGGGGTGTATATCCAATCTCTTCTCCTTCTTCGAGAGCCCTTTCTGTCAAAAACTCTCTAAGCCCCACCTACCTCACAGGGTGTCTGTTGTGGGGAGGGGAAGGGAAAGGAGTTTGTAAGCCGCTCTGAGACACCTTTGGGTAGTGAAGTGCTGGGTAGAAATGCAATCTCTTCTTCTTCTTCTTCTTCTTCTTCTTCTTCTTCTTCTTCTTCTTCTTCTTCCCACGCCAAAACAGGCGATTCTGCCTCTAGCATTCACTCCCCCTTTTCTCAACTGGGAGGGAAACGTGCAGCTCAAAACCACATTCAGATACCTTGGGCCAATGCTGTACTGACTGCAAAGTCAGCCCTGAACGGCCAGAAATCTATCTAGAAGGTGCCATAAAATCCGATGATCAAAGAAAGCAAAAGCGGCACGGAGTGTGGAGGCTACCCAAAAAACCGATGATCAAAGGAAGCGAAAGCGGCCTGCAGTGCAGAGGGGGATTCCTGTTGCAACGTGGGTTTCATAAAACAACGGAGGGAAAAGCCAATGCAGAATCAGCCAACAGCATCCAAATAACCCGGGGCAACAGCAGGCTGAAACTGGGCTGACCACTGAAGGGAGGTAATGTAATGTAGAATGGAGGGAAAATGTGGATTAAAAAGAAGGTTGAATTCGAATTTAGTGCAGCATTGTTTGGAGGGCACTGCAGCGAACATGGATTAAAAGGAGAGTGCAGAAGGTGCCTGTAATTCCCCCCCAAGCCCTCCTCTATTCCTGCTCCCACCGATGTTTCCTGTTAGCTTGTATGTGTGTGCGTTTAAATGTATACTTTTAATTCTGGATGTGTGCTATTTCGGAAACCATTTCCTTCTTCAGTAAAACAACCTTTCTTGGTTAAGCAACTGACTGGTTATTTCAGGAGTTCTCTAAAAGGGAAAGATCCCCGTAAACGCTCCTGGAGAATCTCACTAGTTGCCCCCCTCTTGCAAGCTCCTCGCTAATTCCCCGCAACAAAACAGGAGACAGCCCCTTTGGGAAATCAATAGCATTTGGGGTAAAAATGGCACCTCACCTGTGACCCTGCAGTCACAACTTCAGGGTCTGTTCTTCCATACATTTTCATGTTTGTGCTGCCCCCAGTCAGCGTTAACTGTAGTTTAGTAAAGGTAAAGGTTCCCCTTGCTCGAAAGCCAGTCGAATCCGACTCTAGGGTTGCGGTGCTCATCTCCGTTTCCAAGCCGAAGAGCCAGCGCTGTCCGAAGACGTTTCCGTGGTCATGTGGCCGGCATGACTAAACACCAAGGCAATATGTCTTGCTTTCGAACTGCTAGGTTGGCAGGAGCTGGAACTAGAGATGGGCGCTCACTCCGTCATGTGGCACCCGGGTCTCGAACTCCTGAACTACCGACCTTCCACAGCCTGCAGTTCAGCGTCTTAACCACTTGAGCCACCGCAGCTCCTGTAGTTTAGTAAAACTGCTCTGTATCTTTAAGACTTGTTGCACCTGGGAATTGGAGTCCACAGTTAGGGGTCCCAGAAGCTTCCCTCTGACTGGCTCATTAAGAGTAATTTCCTGAGCTCAGAGGCGCAAAGATAGGAGTTTTATTGTTCTTTTCCGTTTCTTTGTCCATCAACCCTTACTGGGACGCCCATCTCCTTCTCACCACGGCTATAGAACTGACCTAGATCACAAGATGTAACTTTCCACCCAGCTATCTGGTTGATTGTGAGTAAATGATCTTCTGCATCCGTGTGAAGTTAAAGAAAGATGATTTAAGCTCTCCTCAGTAGTCGTGTGTTGACTCACACCTAGAGAGTGTTGGCTTAGCACAGCTCGCGCTGGACAGGACAATGTTCTTTCCAAAGATCTGAACATACCAAAGTGGTCTTTGTTTGGTTTTAGATAATTTCTTAGTCATGGAGAGCTTGATTGATTTGCTAAGAAGAAGTGGTAAGCTTGATGAAGCAACACCGTTTTTTGAACTGGCGGAGCACATATCAACCCGCACGCCTTTGGAGCCCGGCTATAACTACTGCAAGGGACTGTATTGCTGGTAAGTTGTAGATAGCAGTATGGGCAAAAGTTACAAACTCTCTGAAATAGCAGCCGATCAAGGAAATAAATCGTGGCTTTGATCAACACGTCATTTTAACCTGCTCTGTTTTATTTGCTTTTAATTCTTTAAAAAAGCCCACAGTTTTCTAAACCGGCACATCTGATAGTCCAAGCACTTGCAACCCCAAAGTTGTGCAAATTTGGCTCCTTCATCAATTAGTTTGCTCTGGAGCCCTCCTTCCTGAGCTAAGACGAAAATGTGTGAGCCGGAGGCTAAAAAACTATGAGCTAGCTCGCACTAACTCAGCTTAGAGGGAACACTGGCCGGCGGCTAACACGTGACTCTGATCAAAGGCCCAGGCACAGCTCTTTTTTTAAAAGTGTTGTGTCGTTTAGCCCTGAGTCCCCTTCCTCTCCGCAAACAGGCACATGGGGCAGCCGAATGAGGCCCTGAAGTTCTTCAACAAAGCTCGCAAGGATAACGACTGGGGCCAGAGAGCCCTGAACAAAATGATTCAGATCTGCCTGAATCCCGACAACGAGATCATCGGTGGAGAAGCTTTCGAGAGCCAGAACGGGGATGCGAGGTAAAGGCCATGTTCCTAAATACAGGCTGAAGGCTTTCATCGCCTCCCTTTCCATGAGAACAGGGAGAATGGTGGTGGTCCGAGGCCTCTTTTTGTAGCAGGTACTCATTTGCATATTAAGCGACACACCTCTAATGTAGCCAATCCTCCAAGAGCTTACAGTAGCCCCTGTCAGAAGAGCTCTGTAAGCTCTTGGAGGATTGGCTACATTAGGGGTGTGTGGCCTAATACGCAAAGGAGTTCCTGCTACAAAAAGAGCCCTCCACTGCTGGGGGGGGGGGAACCACCCTATAATTTATGGTGCCATTTGGTTTACCCTGACATTTCTAATATCGTTCCAGGTTTGCTTTCTGATCCAAACTTTTACTCATCACATAGGGCTGCCCTGGGTCTAGTTTTGTCAGATGGTAGCTGTTACCACTAACATATCAGTCATCCTTGGTTTCACTAGGGTTATTTGGTATTTTATAGGCTCCACCCTAGCGCTTGGTATCTCCCCTCCTGCAAGTCTCCCACCATATTTAGAGTCTCTCACTCATCCTAGCAACTGCTGCCCTGCATTTATGCTAGGTAGGCGGAATGCTTTGCCTACAGCTGAACTGAAAGGTTGAATTTGTTAATACTCCATTCTCTTGGACACCTCTGTCATAGTGTGCCACTGGCATGATTGAGACCAGTGTTCCCTCTAAGCTGAGTTAGTGTGAGCTAGCTCACAGTTTTTTAGCCTCTTGCTCACACATTTTTGTCTTAGCTCAGGAAGGATGGCTCCAGAGCAAACTAATGTATGCAGTAGCCAAATCGCTTGCTCACAACTTTAATGCCAGTAGCTGACAAGACTCCACATCTTAGAGGGAGCATTGATCGAGGCCATTGATCATGTTTTGTGACTCTGTGACCAATGGTCTTCGTTGCCTATTACCCCCATTTGGAGCAAGTACCAATGCCATCGAACCTCAGGTAGTTTCCTTCTTGTTGGCTGACGTTAGTCCTGCAGTTACACAACTGGCGGCCAATCCTTGTCTGTTATGAGACGCTTTCCTGCAAAGTGAGAGCCAGTTCGGTGTCGTGGTGAAGAGCAGCAGGATTCCAATCTGGAGAAATGGGATTTGATTCCCCACTCCTCCTTATGAAGCCAGCTGGGGGACCTTGGGCCAATCACAGCTCTCTCTGAGTTCTCTCAGCCCTACCTCCCTCAGAGGGTGTCTGTTGGTGGGGAAAGGAGGGGAAAGTGATTGTAAGCCACTTTGAGACTCCTTCAGGTAGTGAAGGGTGGGGTATAAAACCAACTATCCTTCTTCTTCATCTTTTTTTTATAACTTTCGATTTATTGATCGCTTTTTCCCACACACCTGCGGGCTCAGAGCGATTTACAGTTACTCATGACATTTGGACTAACAATATTCGTGGGGAATAGGGAAGACAACATACAGTATTTTAATTACACACACATTGTAGCTGGCCAGAGGCTTCATCTGTGGGCTGGATCAGTCGTGTTCCGACGGCTGTATTCTTGTCGGCTGGCTGATGTCGTCAGCTTCTTGATGTCACACTGCCACCGCCTGGCCGACCCGTTCCACTGCAGGGATGCCGAAAGAGATCTTTCATCTTTTGATTTTGCCGCACCACAGAAGTCACAAAGGGAGTGGTGTGCCCACCTCCTTACGGGTGGTCCCCAATTTATCTACTTGCCGAAGCTTTCGAATCGCTGGGTGGACGATGAGCTAGGACAAGGCTTGGTGGCTCACACCAGCACGGGGCTAGAACTGACAAAGCTTGGCAGTTCAGATGTTACAATTAAGCAGGCGAAAAATCCCCTGCGCCACCGCTCCCTCCTCCCTCTTCATCATCATCTTCTTCGTCTTCATCTTCTTCTTCTAATTATTATTTTTTTAATCATTATTATTAACGTGACAGTCTTGCAGTTATACTAGTGGCATAATCGTCTTTCCTCAATCTTTCTGTAATTGTTATGGACATTTGTCCTGTAACCTCCAGCGGAAGGAGCTCATAGTTAAAAAAGGAAAGATATTGTATATGAGGCTGGTTGTCAGCAAGCTGCCAAATTCCTTTTCTGTTCTCCATGTATGCGCTTGATTGCTTTCGCTTTCGTATGTAGACCTGTTGATGCGCTTAAGTGCTTGGCTGCTGGAATGTCTATATCTCTCAAGGCCACAGGTGGTTGCTGCTGGATAGTTGCTTGGGTGATTTCACGGAGGACCGTGGGAAGGAGATATGTTATGCCGCCTAGAAGCGTTTGCTCCGAGGCGCGATGGTGCGCGCGGGAACTCCCGCAATTGGGCCTCAGTTGTTTGAATGTACTATAACCTGCCATGCTTGTTGCTCCCCGCTCATTCCTAACAGTGATCCTGTACATGCACCTATAGCTTCAAATAAAAGTAAAACCTTCCTGCAAGAGTGTACTTCATTGATGCTCTGGGGGCATCACCAGCCTGACACTGGTTCACTACGGACTTAAAATTGCTATCAGAGTTTCCCAAACAGCCCTATTAAACCGCGCCCCCCCCCCCCATGTTTCCAGCTGTCTGCCTAGCTTGTTGGTTCTTCTAGAAAGCGTTCCAGGCTCCGAGTTTTCAGAATTCAGCCTAAATATTCTTTATGGCCTTGATTATTCAGCAGCTGCTGCCAGTGAAGAATAGATGCAATTATAGCAGTCGGTTGGAATAACAGATTTCCGTAGGGATAGATAGGAGGCACTGCGGTGGGGGGGGGCACAGCTGGAACTCAGCATTGGCACGGCAACTGAGGAGCTGCCCGCATTCCCTCACTCTGATCTCCCTTCATCAGTAGCCTATTCTAAGTGGAGGCCTGCCAGAACAGCCATTCGCATTCAGCCTTTTGCTGAGCCCAGAGTTCACTGGGATCCTGAGGGTTAATGAAGGGAGAGAAAAGATTGGATTTATACCCCACCCTTCCCTACCCGAGGGAGTCCCAGGGTGGCTTAACATAAGAACATAAGAACATCAGAGACGACGATGTTGGATCAGGCCAAAGGCCCATCCATTCCAACACTCTGTATCACACAGTGGTCAGAAATACCAGTGCCATCAGGAGGTCCACAGTGGGGCCAGGACATTAGAAGCCCTCCCGCTGTTGCCCCCCCCCCAAGCACCAAGAAGACAGAGCATCACTCGCCCTAGAGTCCCTATCTATACCTTACAATCTCCTTTCCCTTCCCCTCCCCACAAGAGACACCCCGTGAGCAATGCTCCCTCTAAGCCATGGAGTCTTGTGAGTAGAAATTCTACTTTGTGAGCTACCCGCATTAAAGTTGTGAGCAAGTGATTTGGCTGCTGCATA